AAGCTTCAAATGTTTATTATATGCATTAGTGAATTTTGTGAAAAAAATGAAAGGACATGAGTTTTCAGATTTGGGGGACTATTTAGTACTCAACAAAATGCATGAAAAAGAGCTACATTAAGGCTTAAGATCATGATATTTCAAAGCATTGTACAGAAAAAGCTTCCAAGAGGGGGTGGAAACACCATTTAAAGAATCAAGATCCAGATTCCCTAACAGAATTGGACTCTTCCCCAGAAATGCTGCATGCCAAAGATAATATGGGAATGTTTTCAGACTCCTAAGGAAAAATGGTTTCCAACTTATAATTCATTCTCCACCTAACTATTAAGCATGAAGATGGAATAAAGATATTTTTTTCACATGCAAGAACTCAAAAAGTTTATTATATTTTTAGGATGTTAACAGAGGATGTGCACTACTAAAATGGGTGCAAACCAGGAAAAGGAGATCAAAGACAATGCTGTGTAGCAGGCCAGAGACCAACTGGAGAGATATGAGCAGACAGATGTTCCTAAGAAAAGATGAAACTGATACAGAGTCTGTGTTTGAACACAGTAAGAAATAACTATACTCTTAACAGAGGCTGAATGTGAGAGACAGATCCATAGTACACTAATGCAAACAAAAAATTCCAGATTATTGGCTCAGAGCCTGTAGCTCAGCTAGGGATCCAACTACAGACACCAGAACTGGCGGGTTCAAATCCAGCCCGGGCCTGCCAAACAACGACAACTACAACCAAAACATAGCCAGGCGTTGTGGTGGGCACCTTTTGTCCCAGCTACTTGGGAGGCTGAGGCAAGAGAATTGCTTAAGCCCAAAAAGAGTTTGAGGTTGCTGTGAGCTGTGATGCTACATCACTCTACTGAGGGCAACATAGTGAAACTCTGTCTAAAAAAAAAAAAACCCTCTAGATTATCATCTTCAGGAAAACAAATCGTACAAGATAATGTAATCATACTGCATTCAAATGTGAATTATCTTCACATAGCTATATGTATATTAATACTGACCTAACCAAGTTATTTTAAAACTGTACTTGGACTTGAAGTGTGGAGGCGGTATAGGAATTATTTTATTTTATTTTTTTTGAGACACAGTCTCAAGCTATAGCCCTGGGTAGGGTGCTGTGACATCACAGCTCACAGCAACCTCCAACTCTTAGGCTTAAGTGATTCTCTTGCCTCAGCCTCTCAAGTAGCTGGGACTACAGGAGCCTGCAACAACGCCCGGCTATTTTTTTTTTTGCTGCAGTTGTCATTGTTGTTTTAGCTGGCCCAGGCTGGGTTCAAATCTGCCAGCCTTGATGGCAGGCACCCTACCCACTGAGCTACAGGTGCAACCAGCTGTACAGGAATTTAAGAGATCTAAAAATGTGCATCCATGGATTTCCTAGTTTCCTAACATCTAAAACTGAAAAATAGCTTTGCAGAACCATTATCTAGACTATAAAAGCAAATACCACAAAGAAATAGCAAAGAGTTAAGTGCCTATGGCTGGGGGTAGGAATAGGAGATTAGGGAACATGAGGGAAGGGACTGTTCTTTAGTTATAAACATATGGAACTAACTAACTGTACATTATGATCATGTAGTAACACTGATTAAAAATAAAAAAGTAATCACTGGAAGATAGTACATTTCAGAGAATATTTTAACATCTATAAATGGAAAGAACTTATGAGGTAAAGCTCCGAGGATGGAGATATACACACAAACATTGGCCCTCTGAATTCATGGGTTCCGTATCCATACATTGGATCAACCTCAGATGAAACATATTAAAAAAAAAAAATTAATAATATAAATAAAGCACATTATATTAGGTATTATAAGTGATCTGGAGGTTATTTAAAATCTATGGGAGGATGTACATAGGTTATCTGAAAAAGATTATGCCGCTTTACAGAAGGGATTTGAGTACCTACACAGATTCTTGTTACCCAAGAATTCTTGTTGCATCTAGATGTGGGTCCAGGAACTAATAAGCAGGAACCAATACCAGGATCTACTGTGCAAATACTGAGGAGCTACTGTGTATGTATCTGAATTTGAAGACCATTTTTAGGTTATTTATAAAAATTTTAGATCTTTTTATATTTTATACTTAGCATAGCATTTAATCTTATTCATATTTAATTTATATGAATATTTAAGCACACATATTTAATATACCTATACGCAACTCTGTAGCTCTGAATCCAAAGATATACCAATAGTGTGAACTTCAGGTATATTCTTTGATAAATTTCTAATACCTAGATACTTGACTTGATTTGGATTTCTTGAAAATTTTGAGGAAATTTTAATGAATCCTTAAGAAAAACAACAAAAAATACAGTCAAAAGTGACACTGTATGGAAATAAGAAGTAGAAGTATAACTTGGTTTCTACAACTTACATTGTGTAAGAAAAAAATAAGATTGCTCTTTAGCTTTTCTTGATTTAAAGTGCAGGAACAGAGATGTTTAAATGAAAACTATTAATGAAATATTACTGCAGTGAAGACTAAGCAAACTGATACATGCGCATCTGGTGGTTCTCCTTTATAGGTATAAAATAAACATAATTGGACCCTAAATAAAAATGTGAGAGGTTAAAATTGTAAGTTAGGTCAATATTATGTCCAAAATGAATAAAGTCTTTTGCATTACATTTTAAAAAGAAAATCCAATAATATTCTTTAATTTAAAATAACCCAGAAACTGTGCTAAGATAGTAGCTACTGGCCATATGTGGTAACACCTGAAATGTGGCTAGTCTGAATCTAGTCTGAATTGAGATGTATTATAAGTGTAAAGACATAGTGCAAAAAGAAGAATGTAAAATATCTCAATGTTTTTTCATACTGATCGCATTCTGTTATGACAATGTCTTGGATAGACTGTGTTAAAAGATATTATTAAAATAAAATAAAGGATATGATTAAAAAATGCATTTTTTTTTTAATGTGACTAACAGAAAACTTGAAATTACATATGTATCTTGCATCTGTCTCATCTTACAATCTATTGCACTGTACTGCCCTACAACAGCCCTGACAAAGAAACCTCATGATTTTTAGGTTATCAACACCAACCTTTTATATTTCAAGAAAACAAAAGGTCCTCAACAATGAAAAATAGTGTTCTCCATTTCTGAATCCTTCCTTTCAAATTATAAAGAACCTAATAGCTAAGCAAGAAATGTTTAATGCTTTACTTCTAAGGTTGCTCCTTACATTTTCTGATTTTGGGGAGTCCATTAGCTGTCAGTTTATATTAGTCTTAACATAATAAAAACATGTATCTGAATTCAAGCCCAAATTTATACTTCCTAAAATTTTTTAATATAGGAAATAAAAGATTAATGATAATCTTAATTCTGAAAATATAGCTTTTTAAAGCAATTTTTTAGGGGGTTATACAACATATACTTCTAGGGAGACAATAAATCTTTGCAATCAGATAAACAAAAGTGGCAGAGGGCTTAAAATGGACATATACAGGAATAATTATGCAGATACTCATCATGAACAGGATTCAGGGCTAACACTATATTATTAGTTCTTTTAAGAACATTTACCGGGCACCTATTAACTGCTAGGCACTCTATCAGACAGTGGCATATACTAGTAAGCAAAATCAAATAGGACCCTTGCTCTCATGGATTTTATGCTTTAACAGAGAAAAGGAAATATTAAATAAGAAAAGCTATAGGAGTGGGCTATGAATAAAGTACATAGTACTCTAAAAGCATCTAATCAGGGGCATCTGAGCGAGTTTGCAGGGCAAGAGGAAGCTGGCCTAAGGAAGATTTGAAGAAGTAGAGCAAGGGAAGGGTTAGGAAAAGGGAGGAGTTTGTATGTGGAGACACAGGTGGGGCCAGGCTATGCATCATGTGTTAAAGGCCACTGGAAACCACTGAGGGATTGATTCCAGGCAGGAGAGGTACCTATCACTGATCACTCTTAAGTTTAGAAAAGACTCCATTGTGCTACAGCATGGCAGTCTGGGGAAGGATGGTGGTGTTGAGGATGGAGATAACAGAGCGACATAATAGCTAAAACCTATAGGCCTTGGTCATGGATTAGAAACATATAGCGGATGTAAGAATGTCAGGGCAGATGGCAGATTTCTTGCTTCTGTATGACAGTCCTGGTCACCTATATTCCCAGTGTTTTCAAGAAAGAGCTCAGAAGTATCAAATAGTGCTGATGGGTTAAGTATGACAAATATTTAATATGACCATTGGCTTCAGTGACATGGAAGTAACCAGATGGTTAGACTGAAGGAATGGGAGAAAACTCATATTAAGGTGGGGTGAGGCGTTAAGTGGTAAACAAGAAAATGAAGCTACTCGATACAGACCACTCTGTTAAGAAAAGGTTGGCTGTGAAAGAAGAAAGACAGGGCTGGGGCTAGAAGAGTATGGGTACAGATCAGTGGAGAACCGCTAAGAGAGAAAATGAATGAACAGGATTAAGTTCTGAGAAGGTGGCGGAAGATGTGGAGGTCAAAAGGTCGGTCTTAGGAAAAAGACTTTATTTGCTGTAAAAGGACGGAAAGAAATGGGTACCCCATTCTGCTTTGGTATTTCTGAGCATTTTCTTTTTTATTCAAAGGAAAAAAGCCTAAGGAAACACTGTTTTCAGGTTTCTCAATGTATACTGCCTATAAGAAAGGTGAATACATAACTTTTTACTGTATGTTGTATTTGTGTATTTTCAAAATAAGATCCAATCTAGGAAAAGTATAATGGCACAGAAGGAATTTATACACATAGGTGTCAATTTTATATAAATCTTCATAGTCATTATGAGAATACAAGGCTGCTTCTCATTACCTGGAATTACTGCTGGGTAATAAGACAAACCAGATACATTCTAGTTAGAAAAATACCATCGTGGCTGATGCCTGTGGATCAAGGAGTAGGGTGCTGGCCCAATATACCGGGGGTGGCAGGTTCAAGCCCAGCCCTGGCCAAAACTACAAAAAAAAAAAAAAAAAAGAAACCTACCATCGTTCAATGTGAAGAGATGAAAATGTCCGTGAAGCTGCTTCTCGAGTTAATAATTTGAACCCACACTGTGTGTCCCTGATTCCTTTGACACAAAGGAACCACACCAGAAAGTGGAACCCATACATGAGAAGAGTACGGAAGTAAGAACGCTGAAAACAAAGACAAAATATAAATGACTTTTCCATTTATCTGTAAAGGAGACATTGAAAACACCTGGGGATAGACAACCACATTTTAATACTTAATTGATGAGGTAGATCTTACATATGAAAATCATTGTTCCATGAACATCACCAACAAAGTATGTTAAAGAAATAGTGAGAATATCTACTGCTTAGAGCAGAGAGAAGTGTTAAACAGTTACTGATTTTCTGGAGACTGAGTCAGTCAGACAAGAAAAATCACTGGACCTTTGTGTGAGAGGCCAGCGCTTCATCCTACCAGGAGAACCTGGTTTGGGGTTGCTATGAACAAGGAGAACATCTCATTTACCTACATAATTCATGCCTCTTATCCCACATATGTTTCAGTTTCAAAAAAGGCATCAGTTTCCAGGAAGTATTAGCAAAACAAAATACTAGATTTGAACTTATAGTTTGATACCCAACTAATAAGAATACTGACAGAAGGAAGACGACATACAGCCGAGTATCACAAAGGCTACAGACTAGAAAGGAATCTGAAACAAAACCTAGTCTCTCTAATTAGGGTAGCAGATAGCTCATTAAATACATCTCAGAGATTTAGTTCCTTAAAACTTTGGACGTTAAACTTAAGTAGTTTTTAATCCCCTGTGAGGATTTGCTATTGTTATTAGTGATTAATTTTATTATTAATATGAATAGTAACAGAAAAATAGTCTACTGTTCATTAAACACTGCAAACTTTAAAACATAAGAGTGGAAGATAATTATTATTGTATTCAAGATTTTGATAAAAGGCTCTCTCAAATGTCATAGACCCACAGAATGGTACATTACATATGTATACCAGCAACCTGTTAATAGTCCATGTAGTATCTCACACTATAAAAAAAAGGTTTCTTCCTCCTTTTTCTGCTTTTGCTTTTTAAAATTAGAATCTTTAGTATCACCTTTAGTTTCACTCAACATGGCCTTTTCTATTGTCATTGAACAGAACCAGAACTTAACAGAGTAATAATACGACTGATGTAGAAGAGAAAGCACACTTGTACCTGAATCTGGGCTGCATTACTGATTAGTAGGGTGACCTTGATTAAGTCACTTCAACCTTCTAAATCCCAGTTTCCTCATCTATAAAATGATAATGCCTGTCTCACAAAGTTATTATAAGGATTAAATGAGATTATATTAAAGCTTATATCCAAGTGTTTGGCACAGCAGGTAACAGGAACTCAGTGATGTCTTTGTTTATAAAGGAAGAAAACGCGAAAGCTTACTTTACTCTCTCAGCCACAATTTTACTTATGTATTAAACAGGGTAAGAAGGAAAGGAAGAATAAAATACTCATCAATGAGGAAATAAAACAAACTTTTAAAAATGATCTATTCTAGCACTTCTCATTTATACCTAGAATCATTAGTTATGTTTTGATGTAAATATGTCTTACCTCTCTAAGTAGATAGGGCTGAAACCTCATCTTAAAATATTTTGGGAATCTCTCAACAGCTTGCTCAGTGCCTTCCATATAAAATACTTCCAATAAATACTGGTTGATTGATTTAACCTCCAAAAGAGCATTTATTCTTAGGAAAGGAACAAATAGAAATTGAAAGATAGAAAAATAAAAATTAAAGGTACAATACCTATAAACTATTCTCCTTCATAATTTTCCCTTTTTTTTGGAGATAGGGCCTCACTGTGTTGTCCAGGGTAGAGTAGTGGGGTCAACATAGCTCACTGCAACCTCCAACTCCTGGGCTCAGCCTCCAAAGAAGCTGGGACTACAGGCATGTGTCGCCACACATGGCTAATCTTTTAAATTTTTTGTAGAGACAGGGCCTTGCTTTGTTGTTAGCTGATCTCAAAACTCCTGGCAACAAGTGATCCTTCTGCCTTGGCCTCCCAAAGTGCTAGGATTATAGGCATGAGCTACCACACCTGGCCCCTTGAATGATTTTTAATGTGATTTGGGTAAGTTTATTCATTAGCAAATAAAAAATACTTATGACTGCTTTTGCTTGGATGTTAATAGACTTTCTTGTTTTGTTTTAGGCTAATGGTTTCGGTTTTTTTTTTGCCTGGGGCTGGGTTTGAACCCTCCCCTCCGGCATATGTGGCTGGCACCCTACCCTTTTGAGCCAGAGGTGCCACCGAAAGTTTTTTTTTTTTTAAAGCAGAAATATGTGGAGTTTACATGAAGACCTTAACTTACATAATTTCTATTATCTTTAAAAGCCTAACAAGATAAGCCACAAACAAGATCTCGTTTTATTCTTTAAAATTTGGCAGAATATCTTAAAATTTAGGAGACATCTAAAACATGTTATAAGATAAACTTATTTAGTTAGATAAAGTTAACCAAGTCTTACATGAACTTCTGAAATGGAACATTTAAAAACATGAAGGAAAAAGATATTCATGGTTTTAATATTAACAATAATATCTCCAAAATGTTTATGAAATGCAACTAAGGATTTAAGGTGAAATTTAAAGCTAACTGCTAATTTCATTATCTTAAAATAAGAAGTTCCAAGAGTTCAGCAGACTATTCAAAGAAAAACTAAAGACATTAACCACTAATAGATTCTATATTTGGATCTTTTAAAAATGATAAATTAAAAAAATATCCAGACAATATATAAACATAACTCTTATATAGAACACATGGTAATATGAAGACATTTAAGGATGCTAAAGGGCTCTACCAGGGTCGTATCATGTTAATCTTCCAAGAGAGCAATAAAACAGATGGGAGGATCAAATGAGAATGTGTAAAAATATTTAGGGAAGATATGTCTGAGCACTATGTAATAAACTACTGAAGGTACCATGTACTGCCTTGTTTCTTTTCCGATTTTCTAATTGTTCACAGATTGATCACCATATGCAAGGGGCTTACATTATCCATAGCACAGCAAGAGAAATGGAAGGCTGCGTTGCAGTTTCCTGGACCTGTGGCACATGCATGTCTTGTCTCTTGGAGATGACCCTCTACGAGACAGGGTAGTTTTATAAGAGTAATCTGACTTGAACAAGCCTACTGGCAGCAGTTATATACAGCAACTGCAGACCTCTAGTCAGTGGGTTGGGTCATATTTTTTCCTATAGAATGGTGGCCAATTCTGTGGGGACTCAAGGCACTAAATCAAACATTAGGTTTTAAAGATTGAAGAATGGGTGGATGGAAACAAGAAAATTATAAATACACAATTCTTGGGATAGATCCCTTGATGTCTGGCTAAGAGCTGCACTAGGCAGAAGAAGATTTAGACCACAGCACAGTCTCATTTAAGTATCACTATATTTCTAGGAAAAATTTAGAGTTTTCCACAAACACAAGTTCTAAGTAGAAAGAATTTACACCATTAAAAAAACAAAAAACCCATATAGCTCCTTTCTACTCTCACCAACAAATAAATACAGGTGCCAACTATCTCTTGCCCAGATTACTTCAATAGCTCTGTAATTTTGCCCTTGGTAGAGTGCCGAGGCATCACAGCTCACAGCAACCTCAAACACCTGGGCTTAAGTGATTCTCTTGCTTCAGCCTCCCAAGTAGGTGGGACTACAGGCACCCGCCACCAACACCCGGCTGTTTTTTGTTGCAATTGTCATTGTTGTTTAGCTGGCTTGGGCCAGGTTTGAACCTGCCAGCCCTGGTGTACGTGGCTGGTGCTGTAACCACTATGTGATGGGCGTCAAGCTCCACTAATATATTTTTTTAACTAAAAATTTTCAAAAAATTTACTAACAAAACCATTAAATTAGTATTGGTCTATTTTCATTAATTTCATTTACAAAACCAGTTTTTTTGTGTTTTCTACCCAGGTAATTACACTGTACTTAAAATATCAGTTTTTTTCATACTACCTAATTTTTAGGGATTAGCCCATGTTACTACAGTCTCCATTATTATTCACTTTACTGGCTGCTTATTTGATCCAGGGATGTATCTATTGTGGAGAAGTGTTTTATACTTGCTACTATTTTATAGTTAATGTACTGAACATCTTAGACATACACTTTTTCCTTTTCTTATTCTTTGCAAATCAGTAAACTGATGAAGTTGGACTAGCTAGTTTCTAAACTTTCTTCCCAAGAAGAAACTTTCTTTTAAATCCCTGAGAATGTGATAGTCTATGGTTAATAGATTAACCTTTTTAAAACACCAATGAAAATCCATAAAGTATGTAGAATACTGAACTAGATGCTGAGGTTATTAAAACAATTTATTTTTTAGAAAAGGCAAGTCTAGGCTTCTACACTTGAAGTTAACCTTTAAGAGGTTTTGTGACTTATCATATGCATTAAATAACAAACAAACGAAGCCTCTTTCCAGATAATTTTGATCTATATTGAAAAACTACTGCTTTATTCTCCTATTTGACCACTTTAGTAGATGAGCCATTGAGAATATAATGAAAATAAGTAATTACTGGACTTGATATACTACACCTGCATTTAAAAGTGAAAAATAATTAAATCAAAAATAAATTACACAGAATTTCATAAGATATTTTTTCTCCAAGTTATTCCAGTTTTTCTAGCATAATCTATAAAAATGAAGCATTTAATATATTCATTTATTTTTTAATACCCTAAAATGACAGTTACATTCTTCTTAGATTTTAAGGTATAGTGCTTTTATAGGAGAAACAAAAAAATTTAACCTTTGAATAAAACTCAAAATACAGCACTTAAATTTGCCAGTATGAGAAAAAGAGAAGGGCAAGTTGAATGCTTAAAAAAATGTATCATTTAGAAGTTTGCCTTATAACTGTGTAGGTACTCTTTGCGTCTTAAAAAATATTAAAAAGAACTACCTGCATCCTAAGGCAAAGAAAAGTCCATACCCTTCTTGTATAACTTTAAAAACAAAAAAATCAATTCTGAAATGTGCTTATCCTTTATAAACCTAACAAAATTAACATTATTTTATTTTCTTTTGGAAAGAACTTCATTTTTAAGAGATCAAACATAAAAGCCTATTTCTTGCCAAATGTATTTGTAGAAAAGGAAATGAAAGCTGCTGTGTCATGCCAGTTAGAGAAGTCTCACCTGAGAAATTGATTCTTTTTCCAAATGAGCTCGAGATCCACATGCAATAGCCATTTGATCCTGAGGAAGAAAGGAAGGAAACAGTTCTTAAATATTTAAGTATCACTAATAAAAATACTTACATCCGATGTGAATGTCCATTTTTAGAAATTCATTTAAAAAAATTAACATTGAAATGTTTATAGGTTTTATTGAGGAGTTCTGAATATGCACAACTTGAGAAGCTTAATCATATTGATGTAAAGGACACTGAATTTTGCCTGAATAGGGCTAAATACGAAAGGCATGTGTTACTTCAAAATTCTTATCTTTAAATGATGTTTTTCTGAATAAAAATATCAGTATTATTTGAGAGAAAAAATTAGTGGAATTAGAAAGAAATGGTTATTTATCTATTCGTCATATGATGATATACCTTGGAAATCCAAGAATAGCAATTGAAAAACTGCTACAAAGAATTTTAAAAGTGGTCACGAAATGAATATACGTATAATACTTTACCCTTCATATGTACAAACAATAATCAGAAGATAGTGTCTTTACACTAATTATAACATCAATAAAAACAAAAATTGAGAAACATTTCAAGAAAGGTGCCAAGACTAGCTCAGCACCGGTAGCTCAGTGAGTAGGGCGCCAACCACATACACTGAAGCTGGTGGGTTTGAGCCTGGCCCAGGCCTGCTAAACAACAATGACAAGTGCAACAACAAAAAAATAGCTGGGTGAGCACAGGCTGGCTGACTAGATACATAAACTCAGACTGGACATCTGCTTTATACAAGAATCTCATCTTACCTTCACCCTTCCTAATACTGCAACCCTTTAATACAGTTCCTCATGTTGGGTGACCCCCCACCATAAAATTATTATCATTGCTACTTCATAACTGTAATTTTGCTACTGTTATGAATTGTAATGTAAATATCTGATATGCAGGAGATCCTCAAAGGGGTCGTGACCCACAGGCTGAGAACTGCTGCCTTAAAGGATAAAAATAGACTCAGGGTGAAGGGACGGACTTCCATAATACAAGCAATGGACCAGAAAAAAGCAGGGGTTGCAATTTTAGCTGTAGATATAATAGGCTTTAAACCAACAAAGATAAAGAAAGATAAGGATAGTCACTACATATTTGTCAAGGGAAACACCCAACATGAAGAGATTTCGATAATTAACATTTATGCACCCTATCAGAATGTTCCTCAATTTTATAAAGCAGACCCTAATGGATATGAACAACTTGATATCTTCCTGCACTATAACAGTTGGAGATTTTAACACCCCTTTGACAGTTTTGGATAGATCCTCCAAGAAGAAACTAAACAGAAAAATATTAGACTTAAACCTGACCTAGAACAAATGGATTTTACAGACCTCTACAGAACATTGAACATTTCACCCTAATAAAGCTCAATATACATTCTTTTCATCAGCCCATGGGTCATCCTCCAAAATAGATCATATCCTAGGACACAAGTCTAACTTCAGCAAATTTAAAAGTACAGAAATTATTCCTTGTATCTTCTTGGACCACCATGGAATAAAAGTTGAACCCAATAGCAACAGGAATCTCATACTCAAACAAAGTCATGGAAACTAAATAATCTTAGCTGAAAGATAGCTGGGCCAAAAACAAGATTAAGAAGGAAATCACCAAAAAAAAGGAAATCACTGAAATTTTGGCACAAAATGATAATGAAAACACAAATTATCCAAACCTGTGGGATACTGCAAAGGTAGTCCTAAGAGGGAAATTTGTAGTGTTGGAAGCCTTTATCAAGAAAACAGAAAGAGAGGAAGCCAACAACTTAATGGATTATCTCAAGCAACTGGAAAAGGAAGAACATTCCAACCCCAAACCCAGCACAAGAAAAGAAATAACCAAAATTAGGGCAGAAATAAATGACATTGAAAAAAAGAATCCGGCTTGGCTCCTGTGGCTAGGGTGGCTAGGGTGCTAGCCACATGCACCTGGGGTGGAGGGTTGGAGTCCAGCCCAGGCCCACCAAACAACAATGACAGCTGTAACCAAAAAATGGTCGGGCGTTGTGGTGGGCGCCTGTGGTCCCAGCTACTTGGGAGGCTGAGGCAGGAGACTCGCTTGGGCCCAGGAGGTGGAGGTTGCTGTGAGCTGTGATGCCACAGCACTCTATCCAGGGGGACAGCTTGAGGCTCTGTCTCAAAAAAAAAAAAAAGAAAAGAAAAAAATGAATCATTTAGAAGATCAACAAAACAAAAAGTTGTTTTTTTAAAAAGATTAATAAAATTGACAAACCTTTGGCCAACCCAACCAGAAATAGAAAAGTAAAATCTCTACTATTGTCTATCAGAAACAATAAAGGAGAAATAGCAACATCTCAGAAATTCAAAAAATCCTAAATGATTACTGCAAAAATCTCTATACCCAGAAATATGAAAATCTGAAGGAAATGGACCAATACCTGGAAGCATGCCACTTTCCTAGACTCAACCAGAAAGAATTAGAAATCTTGAATAGACCTGTATCAATCAGTGAAATAGCTTCAACAATACAAAATCTCCCAAAAAAGAATATATGAGACCAGATGGCTTCACATCCGAATTCTATCAAACCTTTCAAGAGAAACTAATACCTTTATTATACAACCTTTTCCAAAGCATAGAAAAAGAAGGAATACTTCCCAACACATTCTATGAAGCAAATCTCACCCTGATCCCCAAACCAGGAAAGGATCCAACAAAGAAAGAAAATTATAGACCAATATCATTAATGAATATTGTTGCAAAAATATTCCGTAAGATCTTAGCAGAAAGAATTCAACAACACATCAAAAAAATTATATACCACAATCAAGTTGGTTTTATTCCAAGGTTACAGGGTTGGTTCAACATATGCAATCTATAAATATAATATATCACATCAATAAAATAAAAAACAAAGAGCATATGATTCTCTTAATTGACACAGAAAAAACCTTTGATCATATCCAGCATCCTTTCGTGATCAGAACACTTAAGAAAATAAGTATAGAAGGGACATTTCTTAAACTGATAGAGGCCATCTACAGCAAACCCACAGTCAGTAGTATATTGAATGGTGTAAAACTGAAAACATTTCCACTCAGATCAGGAATGAGGCAAGGATGCCCACTGTCTCCACTGATATTCAACACAGTAATGAAAGCCATCGCAATTAGGCAAGAGAAGGTGATCAAGGGTATCCAAATAGGGTCAGAGGAGATAAAACTCTCACTCTTCACTGATGATGTGATCCTATACTTAGAAAATCCCAGGGACTCAACTTCTTATAAGTCAGTAGCTTTTATATATACCAACAATAGTCATGCTCAAAATATAGTCAAGGACTCTATTCCTTTTACAGTAGTGCCAAAGATGAAATATCTCAGAATTTACCTAACAAAAGGCTTGAAAGTTCTCTATAAAGAGAACTACGAAACTCTGAGAAAAGAAATAGCTGAAGATGTTAACAAATGAAAAAACATACCATGCTCATGGCTGGGAAGAATCAACATTGTTAAAATGTCCATACTACCCAAAGCAATTTACAGATTTAATGCAATCCCTATTAAAGCACCATTTTCATATTTTAAAGAACTTGAAAAAATAGTACTTCACTTTATATGGAATCAGAAAAAAACTTGAATAGCAAGTACATTACTAAGAAATAAGAACAAATCAGGAGGTATCATATAACCAGACTTCAGGCTATACTATAAATCTATAGTGATCAAAACAGCATGGTACTGGCCCAAAAGCAGAGGTAGATTTATGGAACAGAATAGAGAACCAAGAGATGAACCCAGCTTCTTATTGTCATTTGATCTTCAACAAGATTATCAAAAATATTCAGTGGGGAAAGACTCCCTATTTAACAAATGGTGCTGGGGTGAACTGGCTGGCAACCTGTAGAAGACTGAAACTGGACCCCCACCTTTCACAAAAATTGATTCTCACTGGATAAAAGATTTAAACTTAAGACATGAAACTATAAAAATACTAGAAGAGAGTGCAGGGAAAACACTTGAAGAAATTGGCCTGGGAGAATATTTCATGAGGAGGATCCCCCAGGCAACTGCAGCAACACCAAAAATAAATTACTGGGACCTGATCTAACTAAAATGCTTTTGCACAGCCAAGAGCAAAGTAAAGCAAACAGACAACCTTCAGAAAGGGAGAAGATTTTTGCAGGTTATGCTTCCGACAAAAGGTCTGATAACTAAAATCTATAGAGTATTCAAACTAATCAATAAAAAAAGAATAAATAACCCCATTTCTATGTGGGCAAGAGACTTGAACAGAAACTTCTCTGATAAGGACAGGTGCATGGCCTACAAACACATGCAAAAATGGTCATCATCTGTCACGGTCCCTTTGTGGATGCCACTTATCGGGGCCGGGGACCTGGTCTAGCTGTGTTCCGGATGTGGACCACTATACTGTTATCTCACTCAGGAACAACTGCTCTTAGATGCCTGAGGGCTATTTACCTTAGCAGAAGGGAGAAAGAGAGATAGACAGATAGTCTTTGAGGGTGAAGCAGTCTTAGAAGGATAGATGTTAGAGTCTTTCTTAGCAGAGCTTAGTAGTCTTCAGCAGAGAGACGCCATGCTGGCGTTCTGCAAGCAGAAGTGACAGAGTCAGAATAAGCGGGTCTGTGATAGAATGAGCTCACTCCCAACTGCTTTCTCCTCCAGCCTATTATACAGCTGATCTCATGACTCTTCACAGGTGTAGCGACTACTCTACTCCTCATCTGTTAGGAGAGCTAAATCCCTCACCATGCCCTTTTCACCAAGGTATTCCATTATTGAGCTATACAGGTGTTTCTTATAACTCTCACTCCTCCTACCCATAGGCTACATGGGTTGCTACAATCATCCTTAATTATCAGAGAAATGCAAATCAAAACCACTTTGAGATATTATCTAACTCCAGTAAGAATAGCCCACGTCACAAAATCCCAAAACTACAGATGTTGGCGTGGATGCGGAGAGAAGGGAACACTTCTACATTGCTGGTGGGAATGCAAGCTTCTTTTTGGAAAGAAGTCTGGAGAA